GTTTACATGTGGAATTTAGCCACTTTGCAATTAATGGTGTTTCCTATTTACTTTATTGTTTTTTAATATTAACTTCTTTTCCTATTATTTTTCTTCTCTCATTTTTCTTTCCTACATGGTTAAAATCTACCTTGAATTGCCCGAACATTCTAAGGAATGAATTTTTGGTAACGTTGTGCCCGTACCCATGTGAACTAAAGCTATTATTTAGTTTCATCTTTTTCCAGTGATGGATAAAAGTTGTAAATATATGATAAACAAGTCCTTCAACCAAAAATTGAAGAAAATTTCACTTGAAATCTATATATTATGATTTACATTTTCTTTTGTGCAGTCCTGTGGCTATATGATATCAATTCCTTTGACTAACTTACTGCTATTTTCTTACCTTCTTCACATATGAACTTCTGAATGTCAAAGACTACCTGCTGGCCTGGCAAAAGCTGATAAGGTTTTAGTTGTTGACAGAGTTATCGAGTCCCTGGGGCTTCAAACCGTGCTTGATTCCTTGGCTGGAACAGTAGAAAAGCAAGGAATTTCTGGAGGGCAGAGGAAAAGAGTAAATGTCGGATTGGAAATGATCTTGGAACCTTCACTTTTGATCTTAGATTAACCCACATCTGGCTTGGATAATGCGTCTCAGCTGCTTCTTAGAGCACTTCGACATGAAGCTCTTGAAGGGGTAAACATGTGCACGGTGGTTCACCAACCAAGGTACCTTTCTAAGTAACAAGTCTTCATCATTGGAAAATCTGTTCTTTTCTTAAGAAAAATTTATTGGAAAACATTTGATTCTTTCCTTTGCTTCTGATATTAGTTTGTGCTATAATCTCGGGAATGTTAGTGTTTAGCCAGATCCAACGTAAGATTACCTATTTAGTATAGCTTGACTAAATAAATCAACATGTAGGTGATTGGAAGGGTGAATAGATCCTATACAACTGCAGAAAGCTGTAAAAAAGTAACTTTTTGAGCTAATTTGAAGTGTAGGTTGCAATTTGGTTATAGTTGCATATTATTAAATTTTCTGAGGTCATACGGGTCAATGCCTTTATTTTTCAGCTATACCCTGTTTAAAATGTTTGATGATTTAATACTTCTGGCAAAAGGTGGCTTTGTTCTCTACCATGGTTCAGCAAAGAAAGTTGAAGAATACATTTCGGGCCTCGGGATTAATGTCCCAGAAAGTGTTATTCTTCCGGATCACTACATTGATGTTTTGGAAGGCATTGTGATTCCTTATGCCAAATCAGGTGTAAGTTACAAAGAGCGCCCTGCCAGATGGATGCTTCATAATGGATACCCAATATGACCAGACATGCTGCAGGATGCTGCTCTGACTTGCTGTGCCTGTAGCAGGCGTCAATCGAAATAGAGATGAAACTGGAGAGCAGTCTTTTGCAGGAGAATTATGGGAAGAGGTCAAGAATAATGTGGAGTTTCATCGGGACAAAGTACATCTCAATTTTTTGAAGTCCAAGGACTTATCAAACCGAAGAACACCTGGAGTATTCGGGCAATACAGATATTTCCTATGAAGGTATAATGTAATGCAACTGAAAAAATTTACCTGTCAAAATGGTATTTTCAGATTACATCGAAATCTTTTATTATTAGTACTAGATCTTGATCTTCTCTGTCTCCTTAACTGTTTCAGGGTCAGGAAACAGCGTCTTAGAGAATCTAAGATACAAGCAGTAGATTATCTGATCCTATTTTCTTGCTGGTGCCTGCTTAGGATCTCTGGCTAAAGTGAGTGATGAAAACTTTGGGGTGCGCGGTTATACTTACACCATTATTGCGGTATGTAAGTTCGAAACACTAAATCGCCCATGATAAAAGAATGTTGTTAAATTTCGTTTCTTTTAGCAGTATATATCGTATAAGAAACTTCTCAACGATAAAAGAAGTTTAATTTTCTTTTGCATCCCGAGGAAAACCTCATACTTCCCTCTACGATTGCTTTGTTTTTTTCCAGCTCTTCTGTGCAAAATATCGGCCTTGAGAACATTTTCTCTGGACAAGTTACGTTATTGGAGGGAGAGCGCGTCTGGCATGAGCAGTTTGGCTTGTTTCCTTGCCAAGGATGCTATTGACCATTTCAATACGGCTATCAAGCCCGTGGTATATCTCTTGATGTTTTATTTCTTCACAAACAAACCCGCTATCTTCCTTCACGGACAATTACATTGTCTTGCTTTGCATTGTCTATTGTGTGACGGGCATAGCATATGTACGTGCTATTTTCTTCCAACCTGGTGCAGCCCAGCTGGTGAGTAATTTGTATAGTGCTCGGTTATGATACTAATCCAAAAAAATCTTTTATTTTTGTTTATTTTGACAAGCTGTCTGTTCAGCAGTGGTCAGTTCTTCTCCCAGTCGTTTTTAACTCTCATTGCAACACGACAAAAAGGCAATGGAGCTGAAGGTTATAAATAATTTCAGTTATCCTAAGTGGGCGTTGGAAGCATTCGTGGTTGCAAATGCTGAAAGGTAAGTTTCACTGGTTCTGATTTCATGAAGCTGTATCTATAGATTTCGGGTTGAAATATACCAGAGCACAACTTATAGATTGAATGATTTCTTATCAGTTTAAATTTTTAGAATACTCTATCAACTTATGCTTTTGGGAGAGTTGGTCACGATAACGAGATCAGTCCTTCAGATTCTACGATACCAGGTTACTGATCTTCGTTTCACTTCGGGTACTCCGGAGTATGGTTGATTACACGTTGCAGATCACTTATGCAAAATGGCTTGTCTTAAAAATTGGGGTCTTTGTATATTCATCCTCCTAGTCGGTATAGTTGGTCGTGCTATAGCATATGTTGGTATGATCACATTCCAGAAGAAATGAGTTTCCTGGTAATCCACTCCGTGTACAGAATCAGCTATCTGCAAGCTTGAGAGGATATACGAGAATGGCGGTTGAAATCGACTGCTGAGATAACTGCTACATACATGACGAAACAAAATTTACGATCCCATTAGTCCGATTCTCTGGTACATAATCCTCAACAGATTCTTTTTTAATATCTAATTGTAAGAATTGGAAATATACATGGAAATTTGATAATAAATATCGTGGGTTTACATTTTTTGGATTTTTCTGAATATTTTCTGGGAAAAGTGAAGTGTATCAATTTGAAAAAAGATGAAAAAAGAATTGTTATATACAAATTATATAACAATGTTATATGTAAATTAATACTAAATAATACTTTTGATATATTATTATATATTATATACACAAATAGCAGAAATAAAGCAGAGCCTTAAATTAAATTTACTTGCCAACAAGAACCACTTACAACTCCAAACCCTACATTGATAATAATGAGTTACAAATACTAGATCGACTCGAGGACTTAATATATGATACGTGTGTGTGTATATGTATATACACACACATATATGTATAAACCAGTAAAATTAATTTAACAGACAAGGACGCCATGCATGCAGAGATACATCACAGTCGCTTGAATCTTTCCAGCCCCCCCCCTCCTCCTTTTCCCCACCTTCTTCATCATTCTCAGTCAGTTCTTGAATCAGCTCCTCCCAATCTCATCATCATCATCACCATCATCTTCTTGCGAGGCTGGTAGGTCACTTGATGCACTGTCGCTTGTGCATACAATGCCAAAAAGGGGTTTCTACCATAGTAAGGCGTCTTATGAAAATTTACTCCAGTGTCTTTGTGCCAGTGGTTTGAGCATCCTTGCATTCAAAGTATTTGAAGAAAAGCTTGCTCGTGATTTGTTCCCTCGTCCGTGTATCCACAACTGGTTGCTTTGCATTTTATGTGGAGACAATAAGTTACATGAAGCTCATATAGCATTTGATACGATGCTTCAAAGGGGAAAATTTCCTTATGAATCAACAGAGAGGGTTCTGGTGGAAACGTTCAGTAAGCAGAGGGAACTTGGCTTCGCTTCTCATGATTATAGATGACATTCTTGCGGTCAGTAGTAGAAATTTACTTGAGTTATTTATGTTCTTTTTCTCTGTTTACTCTTTGCCTCTTACTCGGTTTTCGGCGTTTGAAATGTAAAACGATGATTAAATTTCGGAGGCCTGGTTAATTCAGATTTATAATCGGAGAAGATGACCTTAACAATCCATGTTGTTGAGCCACGAAAAAAGGAAGTTAGCTTGCAGAGGAGAACTCTCATACGCTTATGAATGTGAATTTAGAGTATCAGACCTCCATTGCCAAAACAAAAATAGAAAACTATTTTTCAAAGACACAAACACATACATAACATGGGTGTGATACCGCCTTTCTGAATCTAGGTTTACATGTGAAATTAGGCCACTGTTTTCTATCTACTTCATTGTTTTTTAGTATTAAAAAGTTGTTCTTTTATGCTGACCTTAAAGACCGGAGTTTCTCTCATAATGGAAACTAGGGAGACTGCTCCGCGAGCGTGGTAACTTGGCTCGTGGTTGATGATCCTGTACTTTAAAAAGTTAGTAGGTAACAGATAGAAATGTTATTTGTTGCATGCATGTCATTATAGATCTTTTGAGGGACTTAGACAAACACATGTTGGCTCAGAATTTGAAATCAGTTTGTTTTCTTTGTTTTTCAATTGCTGAATTGGTATTTTACCTATTTGAATTCTCTGGAGATATGCCTGTGTAAGAGCTGCAACACATACTATGTCTTCCAAATGCTCACACGAACAAGAAAGATGTCCTTGACCAATACATACAAGCATTTTAAATCAAAATTTAGAAATGACAAAAAAAAAAATGATTCTCTCCTTCAGTCTGACCTATGACTTACTAAAGAGCACATTAGCCGAAAAAAATGAAAGAAAGACTCACCAACTGATGAGAGAATAGTTAGTTGATTGTGTATAAAAGGAAATAAGACATATATGATTTACTAAATAAGTTAACTGTTTTCTTCTCTATCAGTTAAACAGAATAAGATTTGTCAATGCTTACAGTTAATAAATTAATTGCTTTTTTTAGCTTAGGAGATTTTTTAGTTCGTCTGGTGCTACCTGCTTGAGTACTAAATCTCACCAGTCCCCAGAGGCTGCCTTGAAGTATTGCGAGAAGCCCATCCTTGGTAATCTTTTAGAAGCTGCAAGACAGATAATCAAGCAATGCGAAAATGAGGATTAGAATTGGAACCCTGACATCAGTAGTACCTTGGAAAAACTGATGTATGTATTTGTGCACAGATTACTTCAAAAGCACTTAAGTCTTAATTTTCAAGTACTTCTTTCCAGGCTCAATTGCCCAAAGCAGGGGACTGAAAAAAATCAATGTGAATCGTATATGGCAATGTAGCATAGTAGGCAAAAGTGACACGAAACGAGTTTGCAGACAATGATAATTCATTCTGTAATATTGAGATTTAAAGTTGGGAAATAGACTGGCAGATAAGAGGTTAAATGTAAATGCAATAGATTGAGTCAAAATTAAAACAAAAGTATAAACGTAAACTGTGTTTCTCAGTTATTTTGTATAACCATCTATGTAAAACAATGAGGCTAAAAATTTTAAGCAGCACCAAGTTCAAACCTCCCCCTGAATCCATTCTGTCTCATAACTGTAACCAGGCTCTCCACGTAATTAAGCATATAAGGAGCTACAGGTTGTGCTTGAATAGGGAAAAGCTTGGTCTTCCCAATACATGGGTCATACAAGCCGATGACTCCTTTTAGTGCCACAAACAGCTCTTCACTATTGCCAAATCCTAATGGCTTCATTATAGTGGAAGGTTTAATAGTAAACTGATTAGTCTATGACTCTGCAACACCGTATTCCTTCATCAACCAGATGTCATAGCATGAATATGAGTTTCCATCCATATATGAAACAAACATTGCAAGAGAACCCTTGCATACAGATAGATTTCTTGTACTTGGACCATAATCGAAATCTCGGGCCATCATTTCCCCAAACACTTCATTACTTATATCGAGGGAAAGAATTAAAAAACTTTTGAAATTCTATGCCCTATTCACTCTAACTGCTGTCCAATGAAGTGCAATGTTCAGCAATGCTTTACTTGAAACCTACCGTACTTCTCCTTCCACACTGATGTCAGTGCACCTCCAAGAATTACCATACAGTGTCTAGACCTCAGCCTTGGAGCAATCTTTCCCTGCATTGTTTAGGAATCCAGTAACTCATGCTAATTTATAATCCTTATTAGTTGGATCATACCCAACCAAACAGTCCTTTGAGTCGGCAGCTTTCATGGTGCTACATATTGCCTTTGAGTCTCTTATTGCATGACTGATGGAATAAAAATCTGCAGCAGGATCTGAACTTTTTCGAGCACACACGCATAACAATCCATTACAAGATCCACTCATGTGATACAAGACATATCTTTCATATGGTATGTTCAGATATATGAATTCCCTGTATGTTTCTTGAGTAAGCAAGTTCACAACATGCTTTCTTGTCGTCATATCGGTGTTAATTTCAAGGAAAGACTCGTGTTCCTTGTTTCTGTGGACTGATGCAGGTGCATGTCCACCAAAGCAGGTTGATTTATGAGATTATAACATAATCTGCAGACAGACTTGCATGTCATCAGTGTTGTCACAGGTAATCTTACAAGGATGCGAATGGTAATTTCTTCAGGCAAGTAGGTTGCCCCAGCAGCAGCCATATAGCTTTGCGGTTCAGAATCACTCCTCCTTTCTTCTTTCAGAGCTATAGAGGCTAAGAAAATCGGCAGCTTAAACATTTAGCATCTCAGCGTCAAATTTCCTAACCCAAATATGAGAATATAACGAAGAAAAATGAAACGTATTTGCAAATAACATATATGATATAGTATTATATGTTCATCCACAAGGAAACGTATAGGATTAACTCGAAGAAAACTTTTCTCCTTTTATTATTTCTCTCATCAATGATACACACACAAACTGACATACAATCATAATCACCGAACTCTCTGTTCTTTCTCCTGAAAATTCTAATTTTCTCGAGAAAATCAACAATCAAGACTAAACAAGGATTCCACTTTTCTAATCTAACGAATTCGAGAGTGAACAAGCAAAAG